TTAAAAAGTAATTTCTCAATCACCAAATATAAGGAGTGCAATTGTTCCTAAATCAGAAATGTTTGTTTCTAATTTCTTTACATTTTATGTACTAAATTAATATTTTAATCTTCGTTTATAGGTTTACCTTGTTATGATCACAAAAAAATTATATTTTGAATAAGTAAGATATTTGTTTAAAAAAGTGATTAATGTTTATTTTTAGGTAGTGTACTACAAGTCACTAGGCTCTTAGAACTTGATGTTTCAAATTTAGTGTTCCATCCAGCTTGTGTGATTTCTGCTATTTTAACTTCTTTATGTACAGAAACAGGTATTAATTGCTTTTAAAAAAAAAATCCTTTATATATTGCTTAGAAGTTTGTAGCTGCTAAATTCCAATGAATATGCATTATGTGGCCATTGCATGTAATTGATTCTCAAATTTTAAAGCTTATTTTTTAAAAAATATTTTTTATCTTTATTTTAAGTGAGATGGCCGCGAAAAGGAGATGAAAGTATACTGTTAAACATATGTGGCCGATTGCTTTTACTACAGCAAGATCCTGTTGCTAAGACATCTGATATTACCAACAATAATACTCAGGTATGTTTATAACATTTGCTAACAAGCATTTTTCACAATTATCTATGTGTTGATAAGAGTTTAAAATAATAAAAAAAATGTTAATTTGGTGCATGATTCAAATAACACTCTTTAAATTGTTTTCTATAGTTTTGAATTGTGTCGATACTTTTTGATATATTTATTGTAATGATGTTTCATTGATTTCTAATTGCTTTTTGTACTAGCATTAATAGCATCATGCTATAGACATACTTATTTCATATTTTATAGTCTTTTGCGAACAAAACTATGGTGTTAGCATTAGCTTGTAAGTGGTGTGTTAATCACGGTTTTAGAGCATTATTGATTTTCTTAATTAAATTCAGGGTATCCGCGCACCTGGAAAGTCATGAAAAATCATGGAAAGTCATTAATTTCAGTATTGAACAAAATTTGTCATGATTTTAACTATTTTTTTAAAAAAAATCATGGAAAGTCATAAATTTAGATTGCTGAAAAATCTAAATTTTTAAGTGGAATCACCCCCCTCCCCTCTATTTTATCTTGTTCCGAATATC